TTGATGTTATTACCAACAACAAATACCGTTAACAAAATACGGTAGTTAGTAATAATTAAAACTTAATAAACATGTTATAAGAAAAATAAAAAAAAATGTGCTACAATTATTATTAACATATCAATCAAAGAGGTGGAATCCATACTTTAACGACCCATATAGGTCCTAAATAGCTTGTTCGAAATAGGTTTTAAAAGTCCCAAGTGAAAAATAGGACTAAAATATGCTCAAATTAAATGAGAAACCAACAAGCTGTCTTAATACACATTGATTCTGCATGCCTTTTGTCTTCTTTTTTTTTTTTTTTTTTTTTTAATTATTTATTAAAGGTCTGAAAATTATTATAACAAGTACAAAAAAAAAAAAAAAAACACTGTGATAACAGTTTTAAAATAGCTTCAAATCTGCAGAGTATACTAAAATTACTGGAAATTAAAAAAACACAACAAACAATAGGGAAAAGACATACAATTATACAAATTAAAAGTAGTACTGCACTCCATCAAGTAAGGTTCCCATGGCCAATTAGTAGAAGCAATTCAGAAGTGTAAAGTTGTGTGCACGTATGCTGCCCTTTAATCTGCCTGCAATCACAAGCTTAAGGTCTATGAAATGCAACAACGTAAGGTTGTTTTATATGCAATAGAAAAAGCAGTACGTACGTTTTAATTTAATTACCTTTGCAAATTTAAGTTAATTTGTTCTTCTTCTGCCATGTCTTCTTGGAACAGTAGTTTTGGAACCCTTTCCTCTCTTCCATGTAAGTTTCCTTACCAACCAGTTGAGTTTTCCATTTCGCAAAGCAAAATATCCCACACAAACTCCAAATGGAAATGAACAGCAGGATCCTATCGTCATGCTCTGCCAAGAAAATCCATTAAAAAAACCTGAATCCTCTTCGTCCTCCTCTTCTTTTGAGTGCACAAGTGGGTTTTTAGCTTCACATTCTAGTGTCAATGGAAACCCATACAATGCTGTGTTTCCCAAATAGGAATCGTTGCCGAATGTATCAAGGTGTCTGCTGCGGGGTATTGCTCCAGAAAAGTGATTATAGGAGAGGTTTAGAACACCAAGGAATCCAAGGTTTGAGAGTTGCCACGGAATATTCCCTGTGAGTTGGTTGTTGGAGATGTGTAGGGCCTCGAGCAAAGTTAGATGTCCGATTGATGGAGGTATTTGGCCAGTGAGCCTGTTGTGAGACAAATTGAGAAGTCTAAGAGTATAAAGGTTTCCTATAGAAATAGGAATCTCTCCACAGAACATGTTACTTGATATGTCGATGGTGGTGTAGAGCTTTAGAATTCGTACCACGGAGACTTCTGATCCTTTCACCACTAGTGATGCAGAGCACTCATAACTGTATGATAAGTTGGCGTTGGAGTACTTTACTAGTAGATCAGAAGTAATATGGCGTTGGAGTACTTTACTAGTAGATCAGAAGTAATAATTATTTGTAATACCAGTAAAATGCAGCAAATAAAAGTCTAAACTTGTGATAAAAAGGTGGAATCATCCACTTAGACGTCCTCACACCCCGACCAGACAGGATTGTGGAAGGGTAAATCATGGTAACTCAACTGATCAACATAGCCTAGACTTTTGCGCGCACAAAAAGCCTCTCTCATCTTGAGAGGTTGTTCTCACATTGTGAGACTTGATCTATCCTTATTTCTTATGATAAATTTTAGTTGGGAGTTGAATTGCACATTTATGTTTATATATTATATGGTCAATATAAGAAAGGGTAAAAGAAGAAATGTGATGTGATTAAATTACCCGGGCTTTCTGAACCATGCGGCCTTTTGCTTCATCTTTCACTCAAACTGTAGATGTTAGAACCTCTGCAACAATTTAAGAATGAATGTTGGCATTGATTAATTACTGCAAAAATTAAATATACAATTATTCAATATAATCTAAAAACATAATAAGTCTCAATCAAAGTTATATCGAGCCCAGGCGCGAAATAGGAATGGATTCTGTCCGTCCACGTGTCCAGATCTAATGGATGAGAAACACTGATTTTTTTTAAAAACGCGGTGGCATTTTCGTATATAATTGAACATCGAAGTGTAAGTAAAATGTATTACAAGTGCATGTAAAATGTATTATAGGTGCAAGTAAAAATTTACACTGAGAATCAATACTTAGTTGCACCTATAGTTCTAAGTAGTTGCACCTATAGTTCTAAATAGTTGCACCTATAGTTATAAGTAGTTGCACCCAGGTGTATGAATGTTTGCGAGTGATTTTCAGGGGTATTACTACCCGCTGAACTCAGATCAATGAATGTTAACAAGGCAAAATTACATGCACTTATAGGTGAAAGTATGTGCACCTATAGTTATAAATAGTTGCACCTATAGTTATAAATAGTTGCACATAGAGTTATAAGCACACCCAAGTGCATGAATGTTTGCGGAAAGTGAATGCTAACAAGGAAAAATTACATGCACTTATAGGTGAAAGTAGGTGCACTTGTAAGTGATTTTACTTGCACTTCGATGTTCAATTATTTACGAAAATGCCTCCGCATTTTTTTTTAAGTTATTAGATCTGGACACGTGTCGCGCGCTGATTCGTTCGCATTTCCCTCATGAACACTTATTCGCACCTGAGAGTGCATCCCCATATATATATATATATATATATATATATATATATATATATATGAGAAAATTTCAATTCTGGTCCATTGACTATTAGTTGTCTATTAATTGCAGCACTTGACTATTAAAACTGTTAATGTAGTACCTTGACTATGCGATTTCTATCAATTTTGGTCACTCCGGCCAAATCAATGGCGAATTTCCACCGGAAAAATTTTAGTCAAACATTTCTCCGATTTGGCAGGGGCAAATAAGACATTTCATGTGCTAATATGGTTTGTATATCCGGATTGTTGACCCTGTAAATACCCGACCCGTTTCTTTCTTCTGAGCAGATGAAGTGTCTAGTTTGTGCTTCAAACCTGCAACTTGATCCTCTAGAGTTTTCGCCTGAGCCAATGTTTGTAGCTTACTCTCTTCCAATTGCTTTACATCGTTTGATTTGGACTCCATTTTCTCTTATAGGGTTCTGGTTTGAGCCATGGAGGTTTCCAGTTTCTGCTTCAAATTGGCAGCTTCATCCTCTAATTCCTTCGCTCATAGCTCGTATGTCTTGGTAACAGACAAAAGCTGTTCTTCTTTCTCCGCCAATTTGTCCTTTAAGGTGGAGCATTCTTCCCCCAGCTTCTTCGTCATGCTCTCTGCTACTTCAGATTGAACGCCCAAGTCTTTGATGAACTGCTCTGTTGCCGGCACCGACGTAGGCGATCCCGGCCGCGAAACGGAATCCACGTTTACAGTCTCCTTCATCACTACTTCCGTGGTGGATGTTAATGTGTCCTTTAGGATGACATTCTCTGCGGCGTCAGGCGGCGGCGGCGTTGTTTCTGCAGCCGCCTTGAGGCTGCGGTTGCTGGCCTTCCTCCTGAGGTCGCCGCTGGATGAGCCGCCCCGGCGAGAAATATGACTCGGAAACGGGTCGGGTATTTACAGGGTCAACAACCCGGATATACAAACCATATTAGCACATGAAATGTCTTATTTGCCCCTGCCAAATCGGAGAAATGTTTGACTAAAATTTTTCCGGTGGAAATTCGCCATTGATTTGGCCGGAGTGACCAAAATTGATAGAAATCGCATAGTCAAGGTACTACATTAACAGTTTTAATAGTCAAGTGCTGCAATTAATAGACCACTAATAGTCAATGGACCAGAATTGAAATTTTCTCTATATATATATATATATATATAGGCATGCTCTAATGCGAACAAGAGCACATAAGAGAAATAAGAACTATTTACAGCTGTCCACGTGTCCAGATTAACAGATCAAATGTAATTTTAAAAAAACGACATGGTGGCATTTCCGTAAATAACTCGAACTTGCAAGTAATTGGTGTGGTGCACCTTTGCAAGTAAATGTGTTACAAGTGCAAGTAATTGATGCACCTTTACAAGTAAAAAGTGCAAATAAAATCACTTACAAGTGCAAGCAATTTACCTTGTTAACATTCGTGCACCTAGGTGCAACTAATTATAATGTTAGGTGCAACTTGTTATAAAGTTAGGTGCACTTAATATTTATGATCAGTGTATATTTTACTTGCACTTCGATGTTCAATTATTTACAAAAATGTCGTCGTGTTTTTCTTTTAAAATCAGTGTTCCTGATCTATTAGATCTGGACACGTGGATGGATGTCATGCGTTCTGATATTCTCTCATGGGCGCACCGTTCTCATTTGAACGCGGTCCTATATATATTCATTCATTCTTTCCGTTCTTTTCTTTTTATTTTTCCTGTCTGGTGTTAAGATTGTTGTAATATCAGTTTCAACACACCTCTATTCTGTAGCTTTATACTTCAACTTTTCTACAATCACGTCTTTTTATTCTCAAAAATGAGAACAATGTTAGGAAAAATACAAGGAAAACAAAAAATCAAACCACTCCAAGTATGCAAGAGATACACTTTTCTAAAAATTTTTAATCACCATGTATAAGCAATTTGGGTTTCAGAAAAAACTTGTGCGATATAAGAAGTTGACAAATTATTACTCAAGTTGTAACGAATAATTCAACAAGGGGAGAAAAAGTTATTAAGAAAATATCTCAGATTTTTTTGAGTTTATACTGCGATACTCACCCAGAAAAAAAAGACAACAATGGTGATAATAAAACCACCCTCAGACATCGAGATAATGGTAGGTTACAAGGATCAAATAAGTTCTTGGTAAATTTTAAGTACTCATTGCTATATATGTAATACCCAGTTTCTTATAAATGCAATTATACTTAAGTTTTATTAAGTGAAGTCAACAAGTCAAAGTTTCTTATTTTGATATTGGATAAAATTATCAAATTACCCTTCTCAAAACTTAAAGGATAAGGAACCACTTTGGCTTTTGGAGAAAGATATCATTTCAAAGAAGAAAAAAAAAAAAAAAAAAAAAAAAAAACAAGAGGATTGGCTAGAGAGATAGGGGAAGGAAAAACCTTGAAACTTTGATCTCCATCTTCTTCAAGCTTAGATCTCAAAGCTATTAGAGTATTCTAGGTGAGTTTAACCTCTATATTTCACTCTTTTTGAGTTGAGTTTATCATTGGAGCCCTAAGATTAATGTTTGAATATATTAGGGATTTTGACAAGGAGTATTTGGGCAAGCTTAATAGCTAAAATTTGGATGTTTTTTAAGTAAGTGATTAACTCTTCTCTCCTTATTTTGTAAAACCCATAACTTATTATAGAATAATCTCCACTACTTTGAATACCCATTTTAGGGTTAGTATGAGTTAAAAATATTTTGGACTATGATATGTTTTTGGGTCTAAAATGCTAAGCTGAAGTCTGGATTGAAATTGTGTTTGGGTTCGTTGGAACTCTGTTTTCGGATGGATGTTAAGAATTTCTGCCTAAAATTATTAGCATGTGTAGAGATGGCAGAATGGTTTGTGACTACTGTGCAGGGTGGTAGGTTGTGGGTTCAACTCTATTTGCTAGCATATTGTGTGTTTGTTTTATATCATATGCCTTATAAAATGGATTGTTTGTTTAAAGTGAGATTTGAGCACTTAACCTCATGCTTATATTAACTTAAACTCTTTCCACCTAAGCCATTTCAATACCTTTGAAATTACTTTAGTTTAATAAACTATTCTATGACTTTCAAAGAGTTATGTACTAAGAAAATTATTATTTTGAGAATGGTTTATACTTTGCATATTTCTTAGTTTGATAAACCTATTATCCATAATTGGATATATTATGTATCTTGAGAAAATATGTGACTTGAAAAACTTTCTACAATAAAATATGTACTTTGTTATGTGATTTTTATGGAAATGATTTTGCTACATCGGGCTATTTGTTTATAAGAATTATTTTGAATGTTCGGTCAAACTCATGAGGCAACCTATTTTGTTGTTTGTTATGTTCGGCTTGGAACGTTCCTAATTGCTAATTCCGAATTGTCGAGCTTGACTCATTCCGAATCGTCGAGTCTTTTGAATTATTTGTTGGAACGTTCCATCCAGCTCATTCTGAATCGTCGAGCCTGACTCATTCCAAATCATCGAGTCTTTCTAAACTATTATGCCGATAATGGCCTTTGTCATGGGTTATAATAGTGGTTGTAGGTTGCCAATGTGTCATATGTTAAGGAATGGTTTGTGCTTTTGAAAATATTGTATTATGAAATATTGTTGATGCCCATGTAGCTAAAGTTTCTTGTTTTGTGAACTTGTGTATAGTATGCTGAAAGTATATTATGACTTCGATATAGTTTAAAGATCGAGTTTTGCATCGAGTTATTACTCTAAAGCTTTTTGTATTATTTTGGGGTTACTTGACCCGGGGTTGAGAGGAGTATCACTTACTGGGCATTAGCTCATTATTTGTATTTTATTTTCTCATGTTTCAGAGTAGTAAGGACATGTGAATAGCATGAGCATAAGTGGTGGGGTCTCGAAGGTGACTTTTGAAACTATGAGACTTAGTCCTAGTGTTGGAGCTTACCATGGACTTTTGTTTATTTAGATATTCCCTTTGACCTTTGTATTTTTGTAAAACCATTGTGCTTGGTTTTGGTGCTTGTGATGCATTTTGGACATATTACTCTTTGATTGTAAATATTTAATAGTGAATTTGATGAGTTTTTGGGAAGAACTAGTCAATTATATTTTGTCATTATGGGTTGTGGAATTATTGTATATTAAATTGTTATTATGAAGATTCTGAGAGGTATGTATTGTTATGCTTCGTATTGTTACAAGTCTTCACGTAACGATACGGTCGGGTCGTGTCCTAGAAGTGGGGCGTGACAATATAAATCTCCAACAAACAAACAAGCACAAGGGCCCCCGCACCCCGGCCCCGACGATGGTGGCTCAATGGTTTAGCAGACAGGGCCAAATACCGGTGCGCACAAGGATTTGTCCACTTTGGACATAATCCTCACACTGCCGCGGCCTAGATTCGAACCTTGGTCTTTTCTCCCAAATACTGCTAACGGTAAATATGTTACCCGAAAATATAAATCAGTAAGTAACAAGTGTATTGCCAAAGTGTTTTTCAGTACAAGAATCAAATTAAAGTGTGTCCCTTGAATGTAATGAGTCTCCTATTTATGCTAATACTCAACCTGTCTCAATAACGACCCTCAGTAATGAGGAGCCAAGCCGAGTCAAGTCCACATTTATTCACCATATTAATGAAGGGGCGACTGTTCATTATCCTTGTCTTGAATCCGTTATGTGACCATTGACATTATGACTCCGTAGTAAATGATTATGACCGTTGGACTGCGGTTCCATGTTAATTAGGTGCTTGTTGGCCTTACTGGTGGTCTCGAGTCGGGTGGTTGTCCCAATACTGTGTCAACGGCCTATTAAACCAGTGCGCTAAGCCCGTGCAGGCAAACAATGACATCTCTAATAATTGTGTAAGTTGGTCGAATAATTGGTTTGATAATTAAGTTAGATTCTCTTATAGGGAAGATGATATTTAGAACGAAACACAATATTCATTATAAATTAAAGCACATATCTAAGATATTTGTAATAATGATGCACGTCGTTCACATTGATTCTACATTATTGCTTTCTGTCTAATTATTTGACGTTTAAAACAACTCTTAAAGTACTAGAAAACAACACAACCAACAATAGGGAAAAGCCATATTATACAGAAGTAGTACTCCATAAGTAGAAGCAATATAATTCAGAAGTGCAGTGCGCACGCTGCTGCTTTAATCTGCAACCAAAAAAGCCTATATGAAATGCAACAGTGTTCTTGTATATGTAATAAGGTAAATATACTATGTAATAAAAAATGTCACTGAAGAAATTGAATTGTAAAGTTGGAATTTTTAAAACAAAAGGATGAAGCTTTAATTTAATTTAATTACCTTTGCAAATCTAATGTGTTCTTCTTCTGGCATGTCTTCTTGGAACAGTATTTTTGGAACCCTTTCCTCTCTTCCATGTGAGTTTCCTTAGCAACCAGTTGAGTTTTCCACACCGCAAAGCAAAATATCCCACACAAACTCCAAATGGAAATGAACAGCAGTATCCTATCGTCACGCTCTGCCAAGAAAATCCATTAAAAAAACCTGAATCCTCTTCTTCTTCTTCTTCTTGTGACGGTACATGTGGTTTTCTGCTGGCTTCACATTCCAGAGTCAATGGAAAGCCACACAGTGCTGTGTTTCCCAGGTAGGAGTCATTGGCAATTGTATCAAGTTGCCTGCTGCGGGGTATTGCTCCCAATAAATGATTATAGGAGACGTTCAGTACTTCCAGAAATCCAAGCTTTGACAGTTGCCATGGAATCTCCCCTGTGAGCTGGTTGCAAGACATGTCTAGCGCTTCAAGCAATGTTAGATTTCCCAATGATGATGGTATATGGCCAGTTAGCCTATTATGAGACAGATTGAGATGCCGAAGAACACCAAGGATTCCAATGGAAATAGGAATATCTCCATCAAACATGTTACTTGATAAGTCTATGAGTGTGTACAGGTTTAGAATTTCTTCCACGGTATACACAGACCCTTTCACCACTAGCATTACAGAGCTTCCATGAACGTAAACAAAATGGTCACTAGAGTATGTTACATCTAAATCAGGAGTAATATCATTTATAATCCCAGTAAAATGCAGCAAATAATTTTCAGGCAAATGTCCAGTGAAGTGATTGTTGGAAAGATCAAGAACTCGCAGCATAGGGAATGGAATCTTGGTGGTGGGATTGCTTATCACCCCATGAAAATGATTAGAACTTAAGATGAGCACTGCCAATTGTGGAAGAGCATCTAACCAGTGTGGGAATGAGTCATTTAGCCCATTGTTTCCAACATCAAGAACTTGGAGAGATGTACAGTTGAGCAGAGTATGAGGTAATGGTCCTTCGAATTCATTAAAATGCAAGATGAGAACTTGCAGAACATCACCCTTTAAAGTTTCTTCTGGAATGTTTCCATAAAATTGGTTCATGCTTAAATCAAGTAGTGACAATGTTGTGCTTAGATTTCCCAAACACGGAGGAATAACACCACTCAAACTATTATGAGATAGGTCAAGAAATTTGAAAGGGGTTGAACTGCAAAACTCTCTATGCATAGCACCATGCAAATTATTATTGTCAAGATGCAAGATTGAGAGTTGATTGCTAAAATTTCCCAGGCACGTTGGAATGACACCACTCAAGTAATTGCTTGACAGGTCAAGAAAATGAAGGTGGCATGCATTGCAGAGTGATTTTGGAATACCCCCGTGAAACTGATTGCCACGAAGAACAAAAGAATCTAGATTCGTGTTGTTTCCCAAGCATTGTGGAATATGTCCATTCAATTTGTTATATGCTATAAAAAGGACTGAAAGAGATGTGACATTGCAAAAGATTGATAAGGTCTCAGGTTCCTGAAGCAAGTTGGAACTTATGGAAACACCAAATAGTGATGTTAAATATCCTACTTCCCATGGTATTGACCCCCTAAGATAGTTATGTGAAAGACCTAGCCGACTGAGCTCTGTCAAATTTCCAATTGTTGAAGGAATTAGACCAGAGAGGTGGTTTGAGTCAAGGTAAAGTTCAGACAACTTTTTCAAATTCCCAATGTTTGAGGGAATGCAACCTGAAAGCTGGTTACTAGGCAGGGCAAGACATTGAAGTTGTGTCAATAAACTAATTTCAGAGGGAATCCTTCCAGTGAGCTTATTGTTATCTATAAACAAGAGAGTTAATTGTGTCCAGTTGGCAATGAGGTGTGGTACTAACTCACCTGAAAGCATATTGAGACCTAAATCTAACACAACTAGTTTGGAAAGATTGGACATGCTGGGAGGCAACTTGCCTGTTAGAAAGTTATGGCCTAGATACAAGTACTCAAGATTTGTGCATAGCCCAAGTTCAAAGGGAATCATAGAATTCAGTTGATTTTTTCTGAGAGAAAGATACTGAAGATGTTTTAGGCTTCCAATGGAAGGTGGAATATTCCCAAGAAATGAATTATTGGCCAATTTCAGTGCTTGAACACTGGTGATTGAACCAATTTCTTTTGGAATTACTCCAGAAAAGTTGTTGTATGAAAGGCAAAGAAATTTAAGGTTGGATAAGTAGGTAAGACTAATGGGAAAAGGTCCTTGGAAGAAATTGTTACCAAGGTCAAGGTGCTCTAAGTTCTCTAGCTTGGAAAACACAAACACTGGAATTTGACCGGTAAAATGGTTTTTTGACAAATCAAGGTAAGATAAATTTGGGCAACTTGTTATCAAGTCTTTTGGAAAATCCAAATTGAACTCATTAGCACGGAGGTTGAGATGCTTCAACAAAGGCATAGTATGGAATTTAGACCAATCCGGAGTTTCCAGATTATTCACTCTCAGATCCAGGTACCTCAGATTTTAAAGATTGCTAATTTCAAATGGAATCACATCTTCCAGAAAGTTTTTGAAACAACTAAAGTACCTGAGTTGTGTCAACTGCCCAACCTCTACTGGTATTGCCCCCGTGAAGTTGTTATTGCTCAAGTCCAGAAAAGTGAGCTTAAGGAGGCTGTTGATAGCAAACGGGATCATTCCGCTCAAACTATTGTTATTGAGATTGATCCGAGTAAGATTAGGTAGTAAGGAAAAACGGAGTAGTTCAAGTGTACCTCTGATGTTCCCATGAGGTAGGTTGAGCTCTGAAACAGATCCACCTCGGTTACAGGTGATTCCCTCCCAATTGCACAAATTTGTGAGGTTGTTGACAGACCAAGAAGAATCCAGTAAAGAAGTTGAAGATGATGATGATGATGATAGGCCATTGTTTTTCCATTGTAAGAGAGCTTCAGCTTCTTCTTTGTTTGCATGTAAGGGTGTGGTTTTTACTGCGGCACGCAAACAAAGGATGTGAAAAAGAAGAGTGAAGATGGAGATTCTCATCATGGTTTAATTAATAGTAATTCAATACCGTAAGTTAAAGCTTCTGATCTATGTGATCCTATATATAGCAGATTTAGAGGGAATGATTATGTGAAAATAATAATTAACTATTGTGGATGAGGAGAGGAGGCTAGGCTAGGCTAGAGCCTAGATTAGATTGTCTAATCTCCAAAGTTACTTTACATTCATTTTCACTAATGGAGTAATGTCGTCTCTGCTTTCTCTAACGTCACTATCATCCCATCCCTTAATCTCCAAAATGCTCTCTTCTAGTTTAATTTTATTAATTATTTATTTCGACACAATATTAAGATAAAACTTATCTATTAATTAGCTTTTGGGCATTTAAGCTACAATAAATTTGTCAAGGATCTTGTAATCGAACGGCACCAAGTTGCTCCCTTATAGGTTGTAGGATCGAGGCTCAGTGGAAGCCATATTGACTCTTTGTTCTCAATAGGTTGAGAAATAGCCTAAGGAGTTGGAATCAATAGTTATATCATGTATCAATATGAAAATGATAGAAAAACTGATATATAAAACATTAGACCCAACATGCAATATGCATGGATATATAGCCCAAGGAGTTGGAATCAATGGTTATATCATGTATCAATATGAATTATTCTTCATTTACATAAGCTTGAAAAGAATGCTAGTGTCATGCTGGTGATGGAGAAGTAACTACATTGCACTCGAAAAAGAATCTCTTCTATATAATTTAAATAATTTGAAAAAGCAAATTATATATACACTAGTGCAAACAACATCACTTTTCAATGTAAGACAAATGTTTCTTATAAGCTTTCGCAACTCTAATTTTTCTAACTACATGTGTATACTCTAATTTTTACACTATTCATTTTGAGCCTACAATATATCGGGGCCGATTTTTGGCCCATGTATAATGCCCAACAACACAAGGTCCCAATTTTAAAGGTTCCAATATATATCTAGTTTTGACCTAACTGCTTAAGAAATTTAAAAAAAAAAAAAAAATTAAATCTGCAATTAAGCCCACAATCATTCACGCATCTTTCTATCTTGTCTAAAACTCATCAGTTTTTTTCTCCAAATCGCACACCATCATTGAAGAGGGCAAAATTATTCATTCCTCCATTAATTTTACAACTTTCTACCAAATTTCTTTGATTATCAATTTTCACTTCTCTCTTAGGGCCTCATTTATTTACAAGAACGGGGCCATAAAAATCCAAAAGACGGCCCTGCAATATATCGATTTCTTTGTTTTATTTAGAAGAACTCGATCCACTTTAATTTAACCCAAGTCAAAAGTAGACTCTACATATATTTATACTACAAAATAACCACTAAAAATATCAATTTTGTTATTCAACACTTTAAATCTTGTATCCTCTTTTTTCCTTGCTAATTTGCTATTGATCAGTCACTTAGTGGATCATAGAATCTCCATTTTCCCCCTTTTTTTCATCTTTTTTCTTCTATCAACTTCTTTTTCCCATCTTTTGTTCTGTAGTAACCAAAGATAGCGCTTCTTTTCTTGGGTGCGGTGGCATCCCTTTCGCATTTATTTTGTCGGAAATTTGTCCAATAATTATACCATGGATTAATGTTCATATTAAATAATTCTTAACTTTTCTCTCTAAAGTGGTGTATCCCATTCAAACTTTTATAAACTTTAAAACTTTGAAAGTATTTAGATTAGTGTCTAGAATATTTGTTTCTCTGCAATAATAATCGATATGACCTCATTGAATTGGTAAGTTTTGATTAAGAATTTTAGAGTGTTTTAAAAAGTTAATAATATTTGATTTATATTTTTAAAAGTTTTTAAAACCTGAGTGATATTCGATCAAAACTTTTAAATAGTATTAAAAATCTATTGATATTTAAAAAGTTTTTGTAAATAATAAAGTCAAATGTTGAAATGGGATGAGGTTTGCTTGGGCATAAGTTTGAGGAAGGGGAAATGCTGGGGAGAGGTTTGTGCAAGGGGAAAAGCTTTGGCTTGCTTTTCTCCTAAAAGGAAAAGCTTGGGCATAGGTTTCTCTTAAAGGGAAAAACTTGGTCTAAGTTTTGAGCAAGGTTTTTTGCTTGCTGCAGGAATAGAATTGCATTTAATGTTGTATTAAATGCTTATAAATCTCTAGGCACATGAGTTGCTATAAATAGGCAACGTCTCTTCATTCATTTATCCCATTCCATTCGATCCATTCTTTAGCATAGCAAAATACAGAGAGTAAAAATAGAAAGTTATATTTGTAATTCCTATTGTAATATAATTTTGCTAATACAGAAAATTCTTCTTCAAATTGTCTTATTCTGTGTATGATTTATTTTAAATCTCACACTAGAAATATTCTCAATATTTCCAGTACAAATTGTTATTGTAATTTGGTGTTGTGAACCATATCGATCCTAACAGTTTTAACTTTTTATAAACTCTTTTATATTAAGATTTTTATAGATTTGTTTTCTCTCAAATATAAATATTTAAATTCATCTTTAAAATCCCGAACTTCTAAACTTTTTGTTTGCCTACTCTACTGCATAAATGGGGTGTTGCTATTTGCACCACCCTTTAGTCAAAAAGGGGTATAAATTACATTGGAAGTGTGTAAAAAAGTGAAAATTTCTAATAAATACATAGGTGGTGTAAATAGTCAAATGGGTGATCAAATTGCTATTTGCACCACCTTAGTCAAACCTCATTTATTAGATGTAAGTAATAATTTTTTAATTCAAAATTTAATTTAAAAAAAAAAAAAAAAAAAACCATTGCCTTCTCCGGTATGAGAAGGCGATGGACATGCCATCTCACCGAAGAAGGCAAAATCGCCTTAGCGAGATCCTCTGTGTCGTACTTCCATGTTGGGATTCATCAAGTACCTAATATATCAGGATCACAACATGTTATTCTGTGAATTAAGTTTCAAGAAGTCGAGATTTAGTGGGAAAGTTTCTGCTCAACTGTTTTGAAACTCACATGTTGTCGAAAGATTCAACGAGATAATCACCTCCTTCCTCGTCAACCTTCCTAAAGAACACTCGATATTCTTGTGCCATCTGCCTCACAACAGTAACACGTCCAGTTAATCCTATTATGCCTGGGTCGATCTCCGGATAAACGTTGGAAACACACGACATTATGGAGCAATTAAATACCGATATGAGAATGATATCACTTGATCCCACACTCTTTCTTTTCATTCCCATTAACACTGCAAAAAAAAAGTAAAAATCTTACCTATGATATAAGCACGGAGATGGGAGGGGTTATCACGTTGAGGATTGATTGAGGCAAATACAGGAAGAATAATCTTACAGTTAAAAAAGGAAAAAAAAAACGAAAAAAAAAAATAAAAAAAAAAAAAAGAAACCGCCGACCTATTGTTACCAATGGGAAAACACAAATGGGAAAAGGTCTTTGGAAGAAATTGTTACCAAGGTCAAGGTGCTCTAGGTTCTCTAGCTTGGAAAACACAAACACTGGAATTTGACCGGTAAAATGGTTTTTTGACAAATCAAGGTAAGATAAATTTGGGCAACTTGTTATCAAGTCTTTTGGAAAATCCAAATTGAACTCATTAGCACGGAGGTTGAGATGCTTCAACAAAGGCATAGCATGGAATTTAGACCAATTGGGAGTTTCCAGATTATTCACTCCCAGATCTAGGTACCTCAGATTTTGAAGATTGCGAATTTCAAATGGAATCACATCTTCCAGAAAGTTTCTGAAACAACTAAAGTACCTGAGCTCTGTCAACTGCCCAATCTCTACTGGTATTGCCCCCTTGAAGTTGTTATTGCTCAAGTCCAGAAAAGTGAGCTTAAAGAGGGTACTGATAGCAGATGGGATCATTGTTCTTCAGATTGATACGAGTAAGATTAGGAAGTGAGGAAAAACGGAGTTGTTCAAGTGTACCTCTGATGTTTGTTCTTTAAACTTGTCTTACAATTAGACAAAATACTCTCTTCCAATTGGTAATTTGGCAATTGGTATAATTAGGGATCATGATCAACACAAATGTGTGGATTGTTGGTACAAAAATTATTATTTAATTTGTGTACTAATGTCAACTGACATATATTTGTTATTTATGTTGATTTTGAACCAAAGTAAATTATGGTTAAATGGGAATGCAAAATAAATGGCAACAAGTTGGTATACCATAGATTAGGGTCTATCTTACGAGGTGGATCAGGTTCAAAATATACAATTTACATATCGAATATGTTTAAAATTTACATACACAATTTATATATTTAATTTTCACAATTTACCTTACCGGTTCTATATCGCACCCGATCCCCAGAATAATTTGCCAATGGGAACTAAAGTAAATTATGGGGAAATGGGAAATTGGGAATGCAAAATAAATGGGCAATTTATATCCTACACCACGGCGTATATTACACTATGCGCCCAGATGCAAAACGACGTCGTTTTAATTATTTTTTTTTTTTTGAAATTTCCCGCCCCAGTGAATGGCAGTAGGCTTTTCTTTAAAAAAAACCCGATGTTCAAGAATGTACATAATGTTATACTTGAATACACATAATGTTATACATGAATACACATAATGTTATAACAAAATATACATACTCTTTTTAAAAGATAATACACATAATCTAACATAATACATAATAAACATAAACTTTTAACATAATACACATCAACTCTTAACATAATACACACAAATTTTCTGATTCGGATGTACATAATTGTATAAAAACAATGTACATAATTGTATAAAAAATACACATAACTGTATGAACCAATACACATAACGTTGTGAACGAATACACATAACGTTATGAACGAATACACATAATCTCAGCAACTTCCTACCGCGCCTCCCAACACGACCCCAAAACGACGTCGTTTTGGGAGGCGCGCGGCGCACAGTGCTATGTGCGCCGTGGTGTAGGATATAACGATTGAAATAAATGGGAACATGATGGGCCACATTGCTTTAGGTGTGCTTTAATTTGTATTCTCACAAAACAAATTAAAGTGGAAAATAAAAATGGGGTA